CTGTTTTCCACAGCAGTTGAAGAAATTGGAAACTGCCTCAACAAAGATCTGTGTATACTTTGCATTGCTGACATTTTTCTTGTACTAAACTCCATTGTAGCCAATTAAAATGTCTAAATTTGGGATCATTTCAACTACATTTCACATGATCCTCATCCAAAAACAAACATGATGGTCATTATAATGATCATGATCCAAATAGCCGGAAGAAGTTAGGAGTAGAAAATCGTTAAGTCTCATTTGGTCCTCACATATCTACGGAAGGAACATGAGTCAAACACAGGTGGCATGTTCATTCTCTCTCTCTCTCTCTCTCTCTCTCTCACAGACCTACATGCACAACATTGACAATCAAGCACTGAAAACCATCACAAACATGCAGAGTACATGATGTTTCTCTGGCACTTAACACACATCTGCAGTGCTCATGGGTGACTCATGGAGCTATTATGGCATCCATACAGGCTCACGCCGCCCACACTGCTCCGCTTAGACACTGACTTTATATAGAAACACTCACTACACATGCATTACTCAGAGATCACTACTCAAGCCAACTCTTGTAAAGATGATCCGGGGTTACATTCCCTTATTTAAATAACAGGAAATGTGGGTCACAACAAAAAAACTGTGAGGTAAGAAAGTAAGCACTTGCCTGCCCCTCCATCTTCTGAAATTAAGCTGGATGATCACCGGGTAGATTTTTACTCCAAATGGGAGCCACAGAAAGGAGCTGATATCTTCAGGTGGTGGTTAAAAGCTTCGCAGGCCCCGCCCGCCGGCGCTGAGAGCTGCAGGAAAAGGAACAAACCTCAATATAGGCGCTGTCCGTGGTACCAGCCGGCTCTGCCATGCAGGGCACGGCCGCTTTCCCTTCCTCACTTTCCCATCAGAAAACCAAAATCCAGTAATCAATAACATGCATTTTGGTGAACAAGTTTGAAGCTATGAAGTAAATGAAATAAGTAGATGTTCATTTTTGTCGATTAGCCTCTTTCTCCGTCTGAAATCTCGGTCAAACTGGAACAGGCAGTAGATTTTTCCCACCCCGGCGTGTCCCAAAAAAATCTCAAATCCTTGCATCACAACCCGGATAATAAACTGGGACTTACTTGTCGTGACTCCTGGGACAAAGGAGACCCTCGGTGAGCTGCAGCAGTCGGTGTTTGCGGCAGTGCCTCCTCCTTTTCTCCTGTAACTCGTCTTATACACCAGCTGAGAGCGGAGCCGCACGTACCGCACGCAGTTGTTTTTATATATGAAAATCCCGTCTACTCCATCAACCTATGAAAAACTGGAATGCTGCGATGCTGTGATGTGGCCCCGCCCCTCCGCGTTTACGTGCCGAAATCCGTGACTCTTGTGCATCATCACCGCATCCCGTGAGGCGAGGCGGCGTCCATGTCCTATTATGGTTGCAGCCGTTATTCGGTTAGTTGGTCAGATCAGTTGACAAAAACGTTGGCGCACGCGCGGAGGGGGGTTGCTGAGGGTCGCGAGGGGATGACTGTGAGCGGCCCCCTCCCCTCCCTTCCTCTCTCTCTCTCTCTCTCTCTGGTGTCCTCCTCAGCTTCCCATGATGCCTCTCGCTGGCGACCTTGACAGGAGCCGCTGGGTGACTGATGCTGCTGCTGATGCTGCGGTTGCTGATGCAACGCCTCCCGTTACTGGGGCAACGGGTCATGCGGTTCAGCTCAGATGATGCTCAAGTTGTAGAAACGATGATATTTTCAGTTTGTAACAGACACCACACAGGGCAACTGTCCAGCTAAATATGAACTAAACCCGGATATCACATTACACAACACACACACACACACTGCAGGTCCCTGTCTCATGATTTGCTCATGACACACAGACAATAACAAAAGTCAGCTGATTGTGCGTCAGAGAGGTTTGTGTAAAATGATGCAATGAAATTAGCATATATCTGTTCTGCCTGAATGACTTTATAAAATCACTGCAACTGAAAAAGTTCAACCAAGCTCAAACAGAAACATTTATATGAAACTTTCCCAGCAATAAAGGCAAACAAAGAGCTAAACTACAGTGAGTAAAAGCTTCAGAACAGGTACTAACTGGACCCTGTGGTGAGATTGTTTTCACAACTCACAACTTGTTTCCAAGGTCAAGAATGAGATTTCACTTTTACCTTTTAGGTCCAGTGTGGACAAGACGATGATCAGAAAAGTAAGTGAACCCAATCTGCTAATAAAGATCATGTGATATGATCAAAAGCTCCAGAACAGCTACTATTGAATTTCCCCTAGGGTATGACTAAAGTATCTATGTATCTATGTATCTATCTATCTACTAATTGGGGCTCGTGGTGACATTGTTTTCTCAACTTCTACTCTTATGTGTTTGTCCCGTTTTGATTTGTAACTGGTGTCATAATGACAAATTTGCGTTTTCAAATTTTTTTTTAAATGTTTTTTTTTTTTATCCAAATGAGTGAAGAAATCAATATTTGTTTGTACTTCATTTACTTAATGTTTCCATTCTGTTTCCCCATATTGTGATTTTACCACTGCTACTTATATCTGTATGTGACATGTACTGCAGACATGAAGAGAGAGCCCTCCACTGTGTGAGGTTTCTCCATGTTTGTTTCACTCTAAGTTTTTTTTTTTAATTTTTCCTCATCTGAATGAAGGACCTTGTTTGATTTCTACGCAATTTAAATAGACCGACTTGATTGTCATTAACTTCTCCTTTATGTATGTAGAGTATTTACAGTGTGTTAGCCATTTTCCTTGACATATTTTTGACATGACAAACTCTAAATGAGGAAAAATCCAACCCATCCTTGATTTTATCCCTTTACTTTGATCTTGTTACATCATTATTAAAATTTATCACAAAGGTATAACCTGTTTCTACAGTAATATATAAGAAACAGAACTATCAAATAAGCCAAAAAATAAGTTTTAGTCTCAACATACGTGTTTATTTATCCAACATTTGAATACTTACACTTCAACTTTTCAATACATGTCTTCCTATTTCTTATGAAAACATCATATTCAAATATGGTGTTACTGAAATGGCTCAGAACAAGAGAAAATTTCACCTAAATGTCATAGTGTGGATCTCTTGATGAAAAGATTTTCTTTGAAGGAAAAAGAAAGGAAGAGTCCACTGGAGACGCCACCCGTTTTGTTCCAGTTTGACTTCAGTGGTGCAGTTAAAGCTCAGATCTTCCATTCACGCATTTGACTTAAATTATTCATTTGCAATTAATTGTTAATTGTTGAGCTACTATTCGTTTCAGCGAACACAACAATGCACAACAAGTGTGAAAACAGATGCTACTTGCATCTGTCTTTACCTGCTTTGGCTGAAAGTTCAGGTTGGATTCAGCCTGAGAGGAAACGAAGAAACGGCCCAGTGTTGGTCTGACACAAGGGAACACACAGAAAGATTCTACATTAGAGGTAAGATGACCTTAAGAACTACATATATGACAGTCAAGTAAATTGTGAGGCAGGTTGTCTTGTTTACCTAGATAGACCTGGAAGAAGTTGTGCGTCTGGCTGGCATCACGTGGAGCCGTCCTGTAGTTTTTGATTTTCACCTTGATCAGATCAGACATCTTCAGCTGCTGGAGACCTGCAGAGAACCGACACCATGTGCACCAAATTATCATTTTTATTTTTGATTGATCTGCTGATTCTTTTTTGTTTAATTAATTTTACAGTGATAGAAAACAAGAAAAGCTGCAACGTTTGACATTCAAGAAGCTAGGACCAGAGAATATTTGGCTATTTCTCACTTTTTTGCTCGGGAATGACTGAAATGATTAACTGATTATCAAAAAAGTTAAAGTTGGTAATATTTTTCTTTCAGTCGACTCATGACTGATTAATAGACTCATCGTTGCAGCTCTGCACTACACACAGCGGCAAGACAGTGGATTATCAAGGTAGTGGATATAGAAATGAAGACTAAAATGACCAATTTGCTCACTTTAACAAGGTATCGATAAATGAGTTGTGCGCCGAATTTACCAGATGAGTTCACTGACTAGTGAGGGACCTTGCATTTTCCTTTTCGAGGTACAAGTTTAAGAATAACAGACGACATATTAAAAAACATCGCTTTACCAAATGGAATTCGGCACATCTTGACTGCAGACAATGAAACGATCCAATTTGGCAAACGATAGCTGGAGAATCGGTAATTTGTCACTCACAATGACTGTTAAAATTAAAAGACCTCGTATAAAAATACCACCTGTTCACAGACTTCAATCTTGGGAGATATTCTGTCAGTAAACCTTTTCCATCTAACCTGTTTGCCAGAGGTAAACACACGGACGACAGGGGTAAATCCCTTAGAAACAATAATTAAAAACGTAATTATTAAGCATAAAGTATCGTATTCTTATGAGAACAAAAACTTCTTTTCATACAAAGACTTTCCGCTATATTCCCGAATCTCGGCGTCCTTTGATTTGAAGCGTTGCTCAGTCGCAGGGCATGTCGGGAAACAGATGTTACATTTTAAAAGGTAACACTGTCACCTGTTGGACAAGTGGAGCAGGTGCAAGTGCGCAAAGCAATGCAACACAAAACTACACATTCACCATACATATGGTACATGCACAGAATAGCTACAGATATAGAAAAATAACCCCGTGTTCTGTGTTGTGCCACAAGTTCTCATCTGCTGATAAACTTCCCACCTTCATGAGGAGAATTCCTTTATATGGGGCTGAGGAATGGAAAGTGAGGTGGAGGGAAAAGTGACACCATGATGTGAATGATGAAATATCACATTGATCCATACAATGATAAAATGTTCTGGATTCAACCTCACCTGCCCCCTTTCCTCTCCATGAACTCTTTCATAGAGGTCACCAAGGAATGAAAATAGGCACTCAGCTCCAATTAGGATTTATTTCTTTATTTTGATTCTTTTCAGTTTAATTTATGGTGATTTTGAGTTATGTTTTTAAAAGAGTAATGTAAACACACAGAGATTTGATGCTGGTTGAGTTTGAGTGAGTTCATGAATTTTGACAGATGTGTTTGACAGACACGTGTTTTCAATCAAACCAATGAAAACTGAGAAATGTGAGTTAGCAAACATAATAAAGGCTCAATAAAAAAATATGAAGAAAAAAAAATTATTGTAGTGACAATAATTTTTTTTAAATGTTTTATTGCTACAGTTAATAGATTAAAATCAAAAGCTGTGTAGGCTTTAATGTACATGAATCATTTGCTTTGCTTCCTTTGATTTAGTTTGGACTCCTCTCCTCTCACTGTAGAGCTGCTTGTCTCCTCTCACCAGCTCTTCTTGTAGTCATCTGCTGGGGTGAGTTGACCACACTGCTCCCTGCTCCCTGCTGCCTTATTGGGCTCACGCTCCCAAAACCTGCAGAGATGAAGATGAATGTGTGGAAGAACTTTTAAAAAAAAAATGTTGTAACCACTGGTTGCCCATATGAAAATAAGCACAAAATGAAAAACATATGTAGATATTTATCAGATTTTGTCAGGGATAAGGTGAAGGGACCCCCTTGTCTTTATACTCACTGTGGTCCCTTTTCCACCAGGGAGCCATCGCTCCATTTTCACCCCCCGTCAGCACTACTGCTCCTCAGGCCGAGCCAGTATGAGTCTCCCTGGCTCAGACTGTGGGCCGTTTTCCACAGAAACAGCTGAGAAACATGTCAAAAAAAGTTGCTATCAATTTGCCAAGAAATGTCTTCACTTATTATTTCCTTCTTCTGAAGTTTTACAACTTGATTTTCCGCCCGACCTCTTAGTTTGGGACAAGATCAAGAAAATAGAAAATAAACTGTGGTGCATGTGCAGGAAAACAGTGAAAGACAAAACCTCAGATGACCTCAGGCAGTGACTGCTCCTGCAGATGTCTCCATATTCCACAGAGGTCTTAAATCTATTCTTAACTTCTCTCTCCAATGGTGTGTCTGTGTGTGTGTGTGTGTGTGTGTGTGTGTGTGTGTGTGTGTGTGTCCCAACAGCTGATATTTCAGGCAGAGCATCTCAAATGTTTACAACTGGACAGATGTAGAATATATCATCAATGAAGACACATAAACACACACTCAGAAAAGGAGACAGCAGTACAGAATACAGAGTGTGTGTTCACCTGTTCTTCCTCTGTCCTGACTGTGGCCACAGAGCCAGAAGAATAGAAGTTCACACGGACACTGAGCTGACTGTGCTCAGTGTAAATTAATAGGCTTATGTAAATCAGCTGATGGGTCAAATGGTTTTTGCAAATATTTTCTTTGTGTTTAATCTGCAGACGAGTTGCAAATTCTACTCTCACAAAAACATTGACCAAAATATTATTAATACACACATTCACATGAAGGTTTGGACTCACATACTTGTGTCAAAGCAGTGGTTCACAACCTTTTTGGCTTATGACCTCTATTAAAAGTTGTCTTCTTTTCCCTCTTCTGTTGTGTGATTAATCTTCATCTTAAAAACTTTGAATTATCTGGAAATTCACAAGAGAAATATTTTAAGATTAGAGGAAAATCTGAACATTTTTTTTTTAAGAAATCTTAAGATCTTACGATTTAACTCGTAAACTGGGAAGCACTGCTTTTGTCCAGAACCGTAACCATGACCTAGACCTGATTCTAACATTGACCCTAAAGCCAGGTATGATCCTCAAACTGCCCTTGGAAATCTCTTCACAAGGTGTAACGTTCCTCGTAAGGTTTCATGTCAGGTTGACAGGTTTTGCCCTGATCCTTTCTTCACCCACTGTAGCCTGTGCACACAACTATCAGTTACAAATATGCAACTGTCCAGGAAAGGGGAAAAACTCAAACACTTTAACAAAATGACCAACAATCTGGTCAACTAGTGTGAAAGTGAACCTAGCACAGTGCAGGTGTGTGCTTCAAGTGTTTCTGTCTATTGTTGTATATTGTTTCACTAAAATAAATGTAGTGGAGTAAAAAGTACAACATTTCTAAGAGAAAGAGTAAATGTACTCTATTAGTTTCCACCACTGCTACAATTATTTAACCTTCAGCACACATGGATTTTAATATTGTTTAATTACTCAGTCAGGTGAAACTCCTGAATTACTGAGTGCAAAACAATGGGGTTGTCTACTATAGAAGCTAATTATAAAAACCACAGCCAAACATGACTATTAAAATGAAATAATGAACTCTATATCGATGTCAAAACGTATCTCTACAACAACAAATCCTCCATTGTCTCACTGCTCATGACTGAGCAGCAGTGTTTGCTACGATTAGGTAACACATGACATTTTATATTGGTAATGAAAGGCGTGCTATCAGCTAGCTAACGTTAGTGAGCTAAACTGTAACTTAAAGGAAAACGTATTAATTAGCTAACATTAGCATTCAGTCGTACATACTTGAAACAGTGTAATTCAAAAACTCTAAAAGGAAGAAAATAAAGTGTATTGAACAAGCTAGCTAGTCAGGTACTGCTACTTACACTCACCTAACGTGTCTGCGCAACACAAGGGAGTAGAGTTTTAAGGACCTGATGGCACACATAGGAGACGTACTGCTAACATTAAAACCAGGGTATGAGTAACGTCAAAGTTAAGAAATGGTATGGTCCACTGTAGGGGTGTCTGAAATCGTAGTACAAATGAATGTGGGAAACATAATGTAATATTTACAATTACAGATCCCCCCCCCCCCCCGAAAAGAGAACACTGCCAAAGGACGCCGCTACTGCCTAGCAACAGTTGCTAAGGTATTCGCTTTCCTTTGTTCGCTGTATGGGGGCGTGGCTTATGTCATAAAATGCCTTTGTTCTTAAATTGATGTCGTCATCAGTTTAATATAGCCTTAAACTATAAGTCCCTCCTGATTACACTTTCAGTCTTTATCTAGTCAGCTTGTGTTAAAAGATCATCGATCCTAATACAGAAAGTATCTCCATGGCTTCAAAAAAACGAACACAGTTGGTCACAGTAGACGGTGTTCGTCCACTCGTAATCTCTTTTTCCCAAAGGATTACAAAAGAACAGTGGCAACTGATAGATTCAGGTGTGGTTGATAATGCCACAAAAACAGTGATTGCAGAGCTGCTTTTGGAACTCATAACATGTGTTTCAAAAGTCGTGTTGAAAACTTTCAAGTCCTCAAATGTTGTATCAGAGGAGCATCTTCTGTCCAGTGTGAGCAGCACACTCACCCAGAGCTGTGAGGAGTTTCTGAGGCTGGAGGACCAATTCCAGAGTCCCAACATCAAACCCTTGAGGAACTTGATTGTTAAAGAGGTTGCAGAAAGTGTCAAATCTGCCCTCTGTGCTGGTGTGTGCCCTGAGGAGCCTGTTGTAAAACATGTCATCTCCCCCAGCACACTTAATGTTATGGTTCTTCGTGTCCGCAGAATTTTATTCAAGGTCAAGGCCAGTGGGTTTATGATGATATTTCGCCCACCTTTGACATGCAGGCAGAGAACAAGCAAGGCCACCTCCATACAGGGTGCCAAGGACAAAATCAAGCTAGAGGATAATTCAACCATCAAAGTTGAGGAGGCAGAAATCCCAGAGAGGTTGCAAAAATTAATGAGCAAGGAGGTGAATGAAATCACAGAACCTCTTCTCAATGATATGCCAGACTTCAAGTACAAGCTGCTGCGATCTGCATGCTCCCGGGAGATAAAAATTGCTGCAGATCATGTTGGTAAGTTAATTACTACAAGTGATGCAGGGCCAAGTCAAAACTCCAAAGAGAAGTCCAGACCAAACTTACACGATATATGGAGCAGCATCGAGACCCCTCTTGCAAAGCAGTTTGTCAAAGCATTGATACATCACACAGTGGCACAACTTAAGTCCAAATTTAACCTAAGCAAATTTGAAAGCAGGCAGTCAGTGCAGTCGCTCATGGCTAGTGTTGATTCTCTGCTTCTCAAAGTGGCTGGTGTCAATAGAGCAGATGATAATAATGTGTTTTGGAAATTGAAGCACATTTCCAGTGGAAAAGTTCTGAAATTCACTCAAGAACTTAGTGACCTCCTCTACAGCAACATCACAGGCAAGAAGATGCCTATGGTTGTTCCAACACCAATAAGTAAGAAAACTCACAGGCCAAAGTCCATTCCTCAGACACATACTAACATGTATGCTCTCATATGGAACAAAGTGCAGTGTTGCCTGGGACTGATGAGCTGGTGGCTGAACACTCAGGCTAAAATTCACAGTGCCAGGGTGACACGCGCTTTAAAGGACCAATCTTCACAAACACAGCCTGCAAATGTTGCAGTGAAGGAGGCAGCACCAAAGAACCCCAAGTCTTCACAAACAATACAAAACCCAAATGTTCCAGTCAAGGAGGCAGCACCAAAGAACCCCAACTCATCGCAAAGAACACAGCCCCAAAAGGTTGCAGTCAAGGAGGATGCACCAGAGAACTCAAAGTCTTCACAAACAATACAGCACTCAAAGGTTGCAGTCCAGGAGGCATCAACAAAGGACCCGAAGTCTTCGCAAACAACATTGCCCCCAAATGTTGTAGTCAAGGAGGCAGCACCTGTGGCAACAGATACAGAGTCTGCTTCAATATGCGAGGAAAAAAAGGATGAAATGAATGAAGACAAAAAGACTGTGTGGATATTTGTGGAGAAGCTCGTTATGCGGACGTATGAAAAAACAAAGGTGCCATACACAAATGGTGTGACAAAGCATTTATTCAAAAAAATATGGCCTGAGGTTGAAGGCATTGACTTTGGTAACACCGAAAAAACCTTTAAAAACCTCGACAAAGCCATTTTCAAGGACCTGATTAAGAAGTGGAGCTCTGCGGAAATGTTGCTGGTTTCTATGAGATTAAAGGAACCAGCAGTTGAGAAATCTGTCGCCTCCTCTTTAAAAAATCACCTGACACAACCAAAACAGCGAAACGCCATCTACAGGTTCTTCTCGTCTGTGGGCCATTCCATCAGAAACGTCTTCAGAAGAAGAAATAGGGTTGGTGTCATTTAGGGGAAACATCATATTCAGCTTGAGGGAAAAACTTGCCTAGGGTTTTTCTTTTTATCCTTTAAGATGAATGCAATACAGAACTCAAGTCCTGCCTCACATCCAGGTTATCTCATCCTCCACATGGCCTCTGTCTTTGAGGGACACAGACCAGCGGACTAGGAGCTTACCTAGATGTGGGTCAGGCCTTGAGCTCTAAGGGCCACCTCATTGAAAAACAGTCTGACCTCACAACTTAAACCTGGGACACGCTGCAGCGAGGACCCAGCCTTTATATATGGTACATACTTAATCAGGTGAGCTACCAGTGTGCCCCCTGAGCATTTTTGAGTGTGAGCGTTATTGACTATGGTGGCGTGGGTTTTCTCCGGGTGCTCCGGTTTGCTCCCACATTCTTCACAACCATGCAACAATCTATATAAAATATATATTTATAATATATATATATATGTATATATATAATATCTATATCTATAATATATAAATATATATTTATTTATATATATAATATATTCACATATAATAAACAAAATTAAACAGAAATCACCCTATTTTCTCAACCATCTGTTTCCTTTTGTTTGAGGGCTGACTCTCTTGAACGTTATATCAAGAAACAGCTATATGATGCTGCAGTAATGTTTGAAAAGGTAACACTTCCACCTGCTGGACATGTGAAGCAGGTGAAACAACTTAACTGGTGGTACACAAAAATAGTGACAGGTCAGAAACAGAGTTAGAAGAAGATTTCATATTCTTAACTTAATTAAAGTAAGTGGACTAATGCATCAGTGGAAAAATATTCCGTTACATGTATTACGGAAGAGGATAAGGGCCAGGTATTTTATAGATTTCTTCAAACTCAGAATGGTCAGATTAAAGACAAAATTCAGATGAATATATTTTTTTTCTGTCTACAATCTTAATCTCAAAAGTATCTATGTCTGTCAGATAAATGTAGAAGCATAAAGCAGCATAAAACATTTTACTGATGATGATTATGATAAGTGTAGTTTAATGATATAATACATGGTTATACTCCATTGAAGATGTATGTTATTCCTGACCTTGATAATACTAAAGACATTTTTACACAAGGGCCACTGAAGAGTTAAGCTACATGTATTTGAGACGTGTCGTCATGATCACGACAATCAATCCCACAGTCCTCTCTTCTCACTGTAGAGCAGCTTGTCTCCTCTCACAGATCCTCCTCAGCTGGTTGGAGCATCTGGAGGGGAACCAGCTATTCTTGTAATCTCCTGGAGTGAGTCGACCACACAGCTCCATGCTGTCTGCTGTTTGGTCAGGCTCACGCTCCCAAAACCTGCAGAGATGGAGGAGAATTAAAAAAAAAATAAAAAATCTGTTACCATGGCAACCACTGGTTGCCCATATGAAAATAAGCACAAAATGAAAAACATATGTAGATATTTATCAGATTTTGTCAGGGATAAGGTGAAGGGACCCCCTTGTCTTTATACTCACTGTGGTCCCTTTTCCACCAGGGAGCCATCGCTCCATTTTCACCCCCCGTCAGCACTACTGCTCCTCAGGCCGAGCCAGTATGAGTCTCCCTGGCTCAGACTGTGGGCCGTTTTCCACAGAAACAGCTGAGAAACATGTCAAAAAAAGTTGCTATCAATTTGCCAAGAAATGTCTTCACTTATTATTTCCTTCTTCTGAAGTTGTACAACTTGATTTTCCGCCCGACCTCTTAGTTTGGAACAAGATCAAGAAAATAAACTGTGGTGAATGTGCAGGAAAACAGTGAAAGACAAAACCTCAGATGACCTCAGGCAGTGACTGCTCCTGCAGATGTCTCCATATTCCACAGAGGTCTTAAATCTATTCTTAACTTCTCTCTCCAATGGTGTGTCTGTGTGTGTGTGTGTGTGTGTGTCCCAACAGCTGATATTTCAGGCAGAGCATCTCAAATGTTTACAACTGGACAGATGTAGAATATATCATCAATGAAGACACATAAACACACACTCAGAAAAGGAGACAGCAGTACAGAATACAGAGTGTGTGTTCACCTGTTCTTCCTCTGTCCTGACTGTGGCCACAGCGCCTCCCACTGCCATGCAGCGGTACTGGCTGCTGATCCAATCAGCTCTGTCCTGACTGAAGAAGAAACATTTCTCTCCTTGAGGCATCCATGAGGTCGGACATGGTCTGCACTCACGCTCTGAGTGGTGAAGGAGAGACAAAAGGACATGGTGGAAATAATCATTTCATTTTAATCTGAAATGCCAAGCTTACGTGAATTTTCAGCAGCTGTGAAAACATCCCAATATGACTGTTATTTGCCCTTTCATGCATGAATTTTTAAATCATAAACAACCTGAAAATGCTTATCCAATCAATTTTATTTTGAAAAAGTTAATTGGGCACCTGCTCATATTAAACTACTGTATAGTACACATGAATCTGATCATGTTCACTACATGTATTGAAAGCTTGATGTCTGTAACTGGGTCTGTGTCAGTTACAGACACAATAGCACAGAGAATTTCTTTTTATCTGAATTCAAAATGTGCAGTTCACACGGACACTGAGCTGACATTGCTCAATGTAAATTAATAGGCTTATGTAAATAAGCTGAACGGTTTTTGCAAATATTTTCTTTGTGTTTAATCTGCAGACGAGTTGCAAATTCTACTCTCACAAAAACAATGACAAAAGCATTATCAATACACACACTCAGATGAAGGTTTGGACTCACATACTTGTGTCACAACCTTTGAATTATCAGGAAATTCACAAGAAAAAAATATATTTTTTAAAACTTTGGGTAGCAGAAATGGGTTTTTTGTTTGTTTCTGCTTCTTAAACTGTAAATGATCTTTAAGCCGTTAATCTTAAAATTTAACTGGTAAACTGGGAAACACTGCTTTTGACCAGAACCGTAACCATGACCTAGACCTGATTCTAACAGTGACCCTAAAACCAGGTATGATCCTCAAACTGCCCTTGGAAATCTCCTCACTTTAGAAGGTCTAATGATCCTCATAAGGTTTTTCTTTGTTGATCAAGGTATTTTATTAATGTGTTGGAAGAAAAAGCACATATATACATTCACTATAAAGTAATTTCTTTTTTTCCCCTCCCTATCCCTCATCACAAACACCTGAACACAATAGCCAGAAAGTTAAGAAATAATACATAAGTACACACACACATATACATTCACATATTACACTAAAAATTAATTTGATCTGCATTTACAGTTTCAAAGTGAGTAAAGAAAGGCTACTAAGCATTAAATAATTTCTGAATTGATCCCTTTATATTATATTGAATCTTCTGTTGTTGGGCACAGTACATTACTTCTCTGACCCAAAGCCCACGTACAGGTGGCAGTGGTTCTTTCTATTTTAGTAATATCATCCTTCTAGCTAAAAGAGTACAGAAAGCTATCAAGTTGGCTGGGAATTAATAAGATTTTATTGATACCAATGCCATTATTGATTCTGCTAATCGATCCGATTCTTTATCAATTCTTTTGGCTTTTCTGTGTGGAATAAAGTAGGCCAATACATGTTTTCAGCATCAACAACACAAATTTTATTATGAGTCTCTGAACACTGAACAACTAATAACTGCTCTGTAGTTGTTCAATCCCTCGAGGACGGGCTGCTGTCTGCCTCTTTAGGTCTGCCTTGTATTAATTTACTAAAACAGAAAGAAAAAAAATGATCCGCTGACTTGATATGTTGTTGGCTGCAGGCGTTGAATTCTGGTTGTCGGTAGCACTCTAAGCCGAGAAGATGCTGGGCCTAGATGTGGCTGATCTGTTGTACTTATATTTTCCAATGACTGTAAAGGCATTAAATGCTTCACTAGGTTCTTAACTTATGTAAGCAGGTCGATAAGATATTATTTTTGAAACTTTGATGCAAATGATCAGCAGGAGCCTCAACAAACCCTCCATTGCTGCCGCCCCCCCCCCCCCAACTCACCTCCAGAGGTGCCATTGCTAATGAGGCAGTACTTGTTCAGAGCAGGATACTGGGAGAACAGGATGTTATATGACTGGTTGAGCTTCTCCAGTCTGTTTGTCAGATCTCTGACTTTGGTTTCCTGCAGGGTCGACTGTGACTGGAACAACAAGGTGATCTGAACCACTGTTGTATCAAACAAAAACACACAGTAATGTGGAACATAATAAGTAATGCTCACTAAAATGACCAATGAAAAATTGGAAATTTATATGCAAGACCTGTTTTATTTTTTTTAGATTTATGTCTAAAGCAGGAACCACTGGGCTGCTGGCTGAAGGCCACAGACAGGGTAATAAACTAAAGTACTGAGATATAGACTGTCAGTTTTTTCGATCTTCAACTTCACTTTGACTTATGGTAAATAGCCTAAATATATACAAATTCTATAACAATATGTATTAAAATCTACTGATTTATTTTTCTTCACAAAACACACTGATTTTCCCTGTAACATAATGGGCTGTATAAATACATTTGCTTTGAAATTCCTTCATTATTAGCTCTATATTTAAAGATCAAAAACAAAAATGTTATACATAAATCAAAATATAAGATAATTATTTGACATCCCACACTTTACATGTTGTACTCTTACAAGTACACAAGTCTCTCGTTCCCTTTTTAATCCGTAATATATTTCCCTGGTTAGTTGCACCTGTTCCCATTAGTATGATAAAGTCAAACTACGATGAAGTACTCACAGCAGAGAGTGAGGAGCAGAGTGATGATGGTGAGCAGGAAGCAGAGCAGAGAGAGGTAATGAACCAGCTGTCTGTGCTGACTGAACCAGCCTGAGAGACAACACAGAAATTAGAAAAACACAATTCCAACAGTCCAGCAGTAAATCCTGTTATTTAATTGGCTAATGCTGATTTTTGAACGTTGACTGTTGTACTGGATTGTATGAGGTTCTGCAGATGTACCTAATACACCGGGAGATTGTATTTATCCCACTGACCTCTAATGGACTCCTGCCATACTGATAGTTTCAATTTTATTTGCTGAAGTTCTGAGAAATCTGCAAAATCCGCCTCCCTGCAGCGAGGTTTGTACATGAGCCTAAGCAACTGGGAAATTTTTTCTGCAATGAAATGTTGACGTTTCACTGGGGATAAATAAACATTTGAAGTTTAAATGCATACATGTATCTGTATCAATAAACTTTTTTGTAAAAAAAGAAAAACAAATTACCTTTGTCTGTAGATGTTTCCTGTTTTTCTTCCATCACAGCTGATCCATTGTTCACCTCCATGGTTTCATCCAAGAGAAAATCAACAGGTTATAAGGTCTGGTCGGTTTCAATATTGCATTAATGCACAATAGTTCTGTCTAAGCTGTTTCTCTATGTCCTCATATGTTGTTTTAATAACTAAAATCCAGGTGTAAAAGAAGTGTCCGACTGGTTGGTGTTTGAAGTAGAATCATATGTGAATATGGGAACACTGGCTCCTCTGCAGTTGTATGCAAAGCAGAAATGGGTCTGATAACCAAACAAGCCTGTTAAAGAAGTAGTCAGCTTAAAGTTATATTATACAGAGAGCAGAGACATACACACTTGCACTTTATCCACCATTAAACTGCTTTATTTGTTTATTTAGGCCTAAGGTTGATATTTTTTATTATCTTCCTCCACTTTAATCCCAGATGGTAAAGGAATCTCATGTTTGCTCATTTATATCTTTTATCATTACTTGTTTTAATATTTGAAAAAATATTTTCTAGTTAGAATAGTTGGAGGAGAATCTTTAAACCCCACCATTGATACTATTTACATTTTTTTCAGAAAATACACATCATTGCAGTTACATCCTCTACTTACCTCTCTATATGTTTGTAGTAGTTTTCATCGTTGCTGTAGGGGCATGTCTTTGCTGCTGATTCAAGTTGTGTATCCATGCACAGGGGATTCACAGGTAACAGTCTATCCCTGCATTTCACATAATGTGGAAAACAAGCATTCATGATTGTGAGTTCATATTATGTCTCTATTTTCTTACATATAAAAACAGAGTGAGTTGAGCAATGCTCTCAGACTGTTTGTTTTGGTGCTTTTCAAAAAAGCATTAGTCCTAATGTGTCATTGTGTCTTAATAAGTGAATTAATTTTTAATTATGACCAAAACCCTGTTTTGTGAGGTCACAGTGACCTTTGACCTTTGACCTCCAAATTCTAATCAGGTCATCCTTGAGTCCAAGTGGATGTTTGGACCAAATTTGAAGAAAATTCCCTCATGAAGAAATTTCAAGTGAATCGTTTCATGGACTTTTGGACCCCACTATATGTATAAGATGTACGGACGATAGAACACCTGAAAACATAATGCCTGCTGTAATACAGTCAGGTGGTGGCTCGTGGCAGCAATTTGTCATGTCTGACATTGAATCGTGGTGCTCTTCTGTTTGACTTTTGAACAGAGAAACAGATCCACTTTTTTTTTCAAATTTAAAACCTCATACTCATTCCTACATTGACAAAATGCTATTTTACAGATATGAAGAACACATAACATGTGGATTTTTTTTTCTGACTGCCACCATCCTACACTATTCACACACTATACTAGTCAGACTACAGCCTATTTCTGGTCATGAATCCTTGATTTGATCCTTTTGTGGTGAGAAGTTTCTATGTAGATACTTGTATTTGAGCACATGCGCATTTCAGCAGATTGGGCTGTAGCTTCGCACAGCTTCAGGGAAATTTACATATTATACAGTATTTATCAGATAGCACACTATTTCTCCTACCTGATCCTGCCCCAGAATGAAGATCCATCTTGGTGTGCTGGGGTGTCAGGTTGACAGGTTTTGCCCTGATCCTTTCTTCACCCACTGCAGCCTGTGCACACAACTATCAGTTACAAATCTGCAACCGTCTCCTGACAGCTTCATTAAAATCTACCAGGAAAGGGGAAAAACTCAGACACTTTAAAAAAAATGACCCACAATCTTGTCAACTAGGGCAAAAGTGAACCTAGCACAGTGCAGGTATGTGCTTCAGTGAATTGAACTGTTTCTGTCTTTACTGTATATTGTATCACTAAAGCTGTCAAATAAATGTAGTGGAGTAAAAAGTACAACATTTCTAAGAGAAAGAGCAAATGTACTCTATTAGTTTCCACCACTGCTACAATTATTTAACCTTCAGCACACATGGATTTTAATATTGTTTAATTACTCAGTCAGGTGAAACTCCTGAATTACTGAGTGCAAAACAATGGGGTTGTCTACAATAGAAGCTAATTATAAAAACCACAGCTACACATAACATGAAATAATAAACTCCATATTGATGACAAAACGTATCTCTACAACAACAAATCCTCCATTGTCTCGGTGCTCATGACTGAGCACCAGTGTTTGCTACGATTAGGTAACACATGACATTTTATATTGGTAATGAAAGGCGTGCTATCAGCTAGCTAACGTTAGTGAGCTAAACTGTAACTTAAAGGAAAACTTATTAACTAGCTAACATTAGCATTCAGTCGTACGTACTTGAAACAGTGTCATTCAAAAACTCTAAAAATAAGAAAATAAAGTGTATTAAAAAAGCTAGCTAGTTAGCTACTGCTAATTACACTCACCTAACGTGTCTGCACAACAGAAGGGAGTAGAGTTTTGAGGACTGTTACAACCTGTCATAACCATGTTTAGGAACGAGGGAAGCAACATTTAGATGATGGTATCAGGCAAGTACTGCCGTTCATTGTTTAGCACCAAAAAACTGTACAACCACAACACAAATTAATTGCTTGGCAAAGAACAAAGGGAAAGGGCGTTGGGTGGCGCCAAAACATAAAACAAACAAAACAAACCCTGCTTCCTAACCCAACCAATCCTTACTACTAAACAAGAACACAACGAATATAAAACCCTATCTCCAGTCTCACTTGTCAAACAAAAATACAATCTAGCAGCCACCCATAATCTAATGTTGCTAGACTGAAAACAACAGACAGGAAAGAAAACACGATTACCTAAACCAGGCATGTCCAAAGTCCGGCCCGCGGGCCAAATGCGGCCCATGTTCAAATTCCCACTGGCCCGCAGCCTGTCATAAAACCAATAATATGTGGCCCACCAGCACGTACAAAAAACAAACAAACAAAATATATGTCCAACAAAAGCTATTTTATATTTCACCAGAAGATGGCAGCAGACCTGTGGCCGCACTCTAACCGCGCGAACCTTGACCCTTGACTCTTTCCAGCCCATTTCTAAAATGGCGACTGCAACTGAAAAAAGAAAAGTTGACACTGAGGACAAGTGGAAATTGGAATATTTTTTCACTGATATACGTAACAACTGTGTCTGCCTAATTTGCCAAGAGGCTGTGGCTGTTTTCAAGGAATTCAATATCAAGAGGCACTACCAGACAAAGCATGCTAACAGGGCTGTAAACTAACTTTTTGGCTCACCTGCCAAGGGGACCGGTAGATGAAAAAATCTACCGGCTAAGTAAATTTTTTACCGGCCAAGTAATAAATTGCCTCTTTTTGTTACATATACATCTGTTTCAGTACTTTTCATTGAGATAACAGTATTATATAGCGATATATATTTAGAAAAGAGACCAAAATATTATTCAAAATACATTTTTAATCTTTTGAATATTCAAAACATTGCGAACATGGACAGTGCCAGTACCAGTTAACCTCCTGTTCTGATAACAAATGATAATAACAAAATTCAAGGAAAATTAAAAAAAAAATAGAACAGAACAAAGTGGATCAATGCATGATCTAATCAGAACTCATCATCACTGTCTTCAGCAGACACCCTCTTCGCACCACCATCCATATAGTCAGGCCGCCTGCTTCTAACTGAGTTCTCGTGCCACAGCATCACAGCTGTGCTGGGATCAAAGTCTTTTATATCTGGGGAGCAGAGTTGCACAATCAGAAGATCTGACAGAGTGTCAGACAGAAGACTGTTCCGCCAATCACTTTTCACCATCTTCATGGAGCTAAAACCCCTTTCACAGTCAGCAGTGGAGGCAGTAAGGGACAGGACCAGGTTGATGACAGCCAGCAGGTCAGGGCAGGAGTGCTGATGGCTCCTGTTCACAGTGACCCAGGACACATGTGGATGTGACAGGAACTGTGGCTCTTGGTACATCAAGGACTTCAAGACAGTCCACTGGTCCATCACATTCTTAGCATGGATGCCAGAGGTCTCCAGGACAGGCCTGAAGTGGTTCACCAGTGTCTCCACTTCAGTGTCACCAAAATCTAGAAGAGTTGTACACATAGGTCTACATTACAACAAGCATAATGCATATTTTATTTCTGAAAATAAAATAGAAAATATGATCATCATGACCCTGAACTTAAGTGCTCTGCTGTAGTACTTAATTTAAAAACACCTGCTGCTGCATCTCCTGACTCTGGCCAGTTGGCAAACCTGACGAGCTTGGTGGCACACAGCACACATCCTGGAATCTGTCAGTCATACTCTTGACTAGCCTATCCAGCAGTTTGTCACGTGAGGCGACGAGGGTCTGGCTCTGGCTCTCACTGCTTGTCAGTGAAATTCCCTCATAGCTGTTGTTGTTGTCCCTCATAGCTTTTGTCACTGTGGCCTGCAGGGGCCTTCTCTGGTAAAAAAAAAAGGCAAATTTTTACTATCCTATCAGAATACACCTTCACACATTCTACCTCTCTCTTGTTGGAACCATATTCATTAATAAAAGTCAATTATTTCCTATTACTTCTTGAATAACCATACCTGGTTTTGTGCTTCTTGAGGACTGCCTGTGTTGCTCTCAAGGAGCTGTGAGCCTCTGCAATGGTGATGGTGGACCTCTGGAGAGAGGTGGACAGGCTGCTCAGGTGTGTTTGTGTGTCGTGCAGGAATCCACAGAAGTGGATGAAGACAGCCTCCCTGGCAGTAGAGTAGTACTTTCTGGCCTTGGCCTGTTGGACTGCTCTGACATTTTCAGCATCACAAGACTGAATCTGAAATATCAAGAACAAACACATACAACAAATGTACTACCTTTTCAAAAACACTTATTAGATAACACCCTGACAGTCACACATTTCTTTTGATATATTAATAATGCCACTACCTGTTCCAGATGTTGGACAATCCCCTGAAAGCCCCGCAGAAAGTGGTCCAGGGCACGTAGGACGTTTCCTACCCATCGGGTTCCGCCGATCCTTGTGGGCACCAGTGGTTTGTGCCCAAGAGCCTAGAAGCTGTTCACCAGGTTAGCTCTGTTCAGTGGACTGGTGTGGTAGAACGTGTAGATGCCACTGAGGAATTCCTCCACACTCTGGAACATGGCATTGGACTTGATGGCATCCTTGAAGGCGAGTTCTTGGCGGTGTGCCATGCAGTGGATACCAAGGACGTAAACCCGGTCCCTCTTCAGCTGGCTG